AAACCAACTTGGGGTTTTTCACTACTGACTATTCCCTACATGATGAAAATAGTCTGAATCGAAAAACTTTTAATCACCTCGAGAGGTTCCCTCGTGAGCTGTCAAACGGCAGCAACTGTCAGTTTCTTTCTGGAGTAACTAATACAGAGGCAAAATTTGCCACATTTATGACATATCCGTAAAAAGGTTTGAATAAAATTTAACTTAAAAAATTTTTTAAAAGTTAAAGAAGAAATATTTCTACCTACTTTAATGATGTTGAATAAACTTTCTTGTCCTAATCCTTCTTTTTCTCGAAAAAAATCGTGTTCAGGATATGTTCGAGATATATCTCGTCTGATAACTTTTTCACACGGTGATGAAATTTTCATAAAATCTGAATATTTTTCTTTTATATTTGATATATCTTCTTTGACTAAATATTGCCAAACCAATGGACGAAAATGAAATGGTACACCCTTGCGAATTGAATCCTAAAATAATAAAAATTTATCAAAACATTGAAGAATAGTAAATCAATCAGTAGAATAAATTAAAACGTACACGTATCCATAATGGTTTTTTCCTAATATAATTTGACCAATCGTTTAATATTTTATTCCATAGTGTCCACTCTGATTCAGAATTGGCTATTGAAAAACATAGAAATACACTGAATATATTTTTTAAATTTTATAAAGTATACTTAAACATCTACGATTGTAACTTTACAAATAATAATTTAATAACATACAATTTTTCTATTTTCAATGAAGATCATTTTACGCTTCAATTTTCTCGTAAACTAATACAAGGTACGTTGTCTATTGAATCACCACCACTCGTTTTAAAATTTAACGATTTTTACTCTTAAGGCATTTAGTATTTTGAGAGAGAAAAAACGAAAAGAAGTTGATGATTTATAGTTGTATTTTCGGTAAGACTGTCAATAAATATGAAAAATGAAGTTACGCTTGAAAAAATGTCCGTAAATTATATACAAAAAAACGCTAGCTAATAGATTAAAAATTACACAAACATACGTACGACTCATTCATTAATTCAATAACTGATGAAAAAAAGTTGTTTGAAAAACATGTATTGATCGTGTAAATCAAATCCATTCTAGTTTATCTAATCTAACCCAAAAAGTAGACGATTCTAAGTGTCCTAGTGAGAGCTATGTTCTTTTTTTTTAGATAGTGTCTTTGGTGATAAAAAAACAAAACAGAAGTACTTTCTAATCTCTCAGAGAAAGATATGCAGCGTTTAGATACAGATATATTAGCCACAAGTATATTAACGTTCATTGACGCAAATTTAAGATCGATTTTGTTTCGTAATATTTGATAATATGAAGGAAAAAAAGATTCTTTTTGAATTTCTGGCGTTGACTATTTAGAAAATATTATATTATATTAAATAAAATAAAATAGTTCTTATCATATTTCTCGTCTATGTTACGAAAATATGACATTATTCAAAACATAGATTTATAATTTGCTTCAAGCAAAAAATATAAATACAACAGAATTTTATGAAAATAAATTAGAAATGCTTGAATTATTGTTTAAATTTTGATAGACTGTATTAGATGAGGTTACAAAAAAATGTCTACGTTGTCAAAATGTTGCTGTACTATAAATGTAAGGTCGATATGTTGAGTCATATAGGAGTTAAAGGATAGAATGAAGCAAAACGGTACTGTTGCTAAAGTATACTATTCTTACAACGGGTAACAGCTACCGCTCTCAGATTTGTTTTGAATGACAAAATGAACACTTTCCACTAAGAATAAATTGAGAAATGTATTTTGTCTCCATAATTGATTGATACACAGAACAAATAAAAACTCAAAAATAAAAACAGCTTTTTTTTTCCTTAGCAATGGAATGAAGTTTTTCCCGTACAAGCACAAAAAAAAGCAAGACATACGAAAAATTGTTTCGAATGATTTTTAGCTGTATATCTCAGCTCTTGTACAGAAAAAAATTCGTCGAACTATGATGTATTTTCTTGAAAAAAAAAATATACCTTATGAAATAACACCATTGCCAAGACTTCTACCGAGAAAACACGGTGTTCATTCACTAGTGCATTTTAGGACTTTGAGCTTATAACCTTCGAAGACAAGTTCACACAGACATGCGCTACATTTTATTTTGGAGAGAAGGGGTTCTTTTATAAATCTACATATTCATGCAAAGACTCGATCCAGCATACAGTGACATCGATAGTCATTTTTAAGAATTCTCTTTTGTGAAGCTTAGAGAAATTTGTAAAAAACTCAAAATCAACCTTTGATAAAAAAATGAAGCTTTTGTGTAAAGATCTCCTTTTGAAAACATGAAAATTATGCCTTTAAAAAAAGAGATAGAAACATTAAAAAGGAAAATTCCTTTGGAAAGAAAACAATTTTTACTTCATTTTTTACATACCTTCCGCATCATACGTTAGATTACTAAGATCACTGGAGATTGAATTCTGTCGGGAATGATTGTTAATATCATTTGTTAACTGTTTGGAAGAATCTGATGAACGTGTATTTTGACATGGAAGAACAACAGCTGCTTTCAAATCCTCTTCAATTTTCCTATAAATCAATATATTAATTACAATAAAATTTTTGAATAAACAAATTTTTACTTGTTTTCTTCATCTAATTTTCTTAATAATTCAAGTGCTTCTTCTGACATACTTTTGTGTAAAGTCATATCTAGAATCTATGAGACAAAGGAAACAAAAAACAAAAATTTATTTATGTTTTTAGTATTTGAAATTATCACTGAAATATATACGGTAATAAATTTACATTCAATTCTCGCTTAATTTTCACTACTGTTAAGAATTAGATAGACATACTTTTTTTATGTACAGTGAACAAATGGCTACATTTACGCAGTATAAGCTGTCTTTCCTTCAAAGTTAATCAATCATTTTTGTATAATGTAAAAATGAAAAACAGAACACTTTTTTAGATACATAACCGTGGACAAATACAGCATTCATTTTCAAAATTAAGAACGAAAAATCTATAGTAATAGGTAGATCGGTAAATTAATCGGTAAAGTAGTAATCGGTAAATTTTAGTAAGCAAATCATCGGACCAGATGATAACGATATGATGTTTGTAGACGGTATGTTTCTTTCCGCATATTACACCTTCCACCTGTTACTATACAAAACGGGAAAATTTTGTTTACATAGGTTAGTCAGATAGATTCCGAAGTGGTGTCATCGTTTGTATTAAATGAAGAAGAGAAAAAAAAAAACCATATGGTTTTTCATTATTATGTTTCAAACATAAAGACTCTTCTAAAAGTAAACTGTTATCTAACAGATTTTGATTTATATAAAAATACTGATATTTAGAGAATATTAAGTATAAATAATCCAGACACATAACACTTGCTAGATTTTAAACATATGAAACCTGTTCTCTAATTGTACGAAAACAACCATGTCAATCCTTCACGCAATATTATATATTAGTCAGAAAGAGTAGGTGTACAAAGCATGAACAGTAAAGAAAAAAAAAAAAAGAGAGAGTGATTCAATATTTTGTATGTACGACAATAACAGGCGATTTGTATGCATGACATATGTACATCAAGAAGAGAAGAGCAAGCAACTAATCTGTGCAATGTGACACTTTATGACATCTACTTTTTTTTTCTTCTTATTTCGTTACATCTCTATAACATAAAATTAAGGAGACACCCTCCTCAAAATGTATCCATATGGAACAAAAAACTTCAGCTATGAAAGCTCTTGATATGTATAGGCCAATGGAAAACCTATTGAATTATTCACGAGTTATATATATTAGAAGAAAAAAAGACACGTTTAGTGAATCAAACAGAACTTCATTCATATCATATGAACAAAAATTAGTTTACTATAACGTATATTAATTTTTTCATACGGAGTCTCTAATTTCGCTACTCAATATCCTTCATCATAAAACTGTAAAATAGTAATAGCATCACCAAAAAAAAAACATGGTCAAGTTTTCTAGTTGTTGATGAAATGAAAGTTTGTTCTGAGCTGTAGGTCAGTCACGTCTCCTATTTAATACACTGAAAGTAGATGATTTTTTATTCTAGAATTTATAATAGATTAAAAATATTAAAATCAGTACTAATAGTATGTGTAAAAGATAAAAAAACATTTAACCATATTACAGTTCTAGTCTGTTTACCTTAATCAAACAAACGAGAAAAAGGACAACAATGTTCGTAGAGTGCATTTCAAAGTGGAACGAAAAAAGATAATAAAAGTGTTTTTCCGTACCGAATATTTCTCATTTCGCTGTATATACTACCGCATACGATTTGAAAATTTGCATAATAAATCTCTTGCTTGTGTCTTTAGCATGTATTTAATTAATCTATGCATAAAAATAAAATATCCCTGTACACTCCTTGGGTGAAAGCGAAACTTGATACAACAATATAAAACTCTATTCGATGAAAACTATGTATGCTTCTCTTATTCTGATAAAATAAAACTCCGTTTTGTATTCGGTTAAGTAGGCCTTCATCCAACTACTTTTGAATTTTATAAGTGATTAACAAGATTAACAATGAAAAATCTCACACAAGTAATATGGGATTAATGAAATACAGTACATAAAAATTGCCGAACTCTACACTAGTATACAGTTTAAATTTTGTTCTTGTGGCTCTTTAAAGGATACTCACAATGTATTTGTAATGTCATTGGTATATGGAAGTCTAAGAAAAAAATAGACGTTAAACGCTTTCAATTAACAAATATCTTAAGAAGAAAAGAAAGAAAATATTATACTACGTGATGTAAAAAAGTACAACCGGATTTTTTCTATTCTTTATTCTTGGCTAGAGCACACACTAAAACACACATAAAAATATAAAGGTAGTACAAAATCGTTCGAAAACCATTATAATACACTAGTTGGTCAACGCTATACTCTTTAAAAGGAGAAGAAGATAATCATTTTTCGGTATAGTTTTAGTTATATGCATACACTCATTCAACAAATTAAATAAAATACTTATAAGACGTACTACAAGTTCATACACTGAGTAATACTAATATTTTGCTCATTGTGTATTCATTCCTATTGCTACTTGCAAATTTGAGAATGGGATGGAATTTCTTACTGTATGAGATATCGACCGGTGTCAACTAGCAGGCAAGTCCAAGGAAAATGACTAGAGTGATTCTCCCATCTTATTTAACGTGTTTCTTACTATATTCCTGTGCTCCATCACAAAGTGTAACATCACATCATGATGAACAGAAATGGCTTCAATGTTTCAGCAATCTAAGCGTGCTCTTCTGTTAATAATATTTCTGATGAAACCGCAGAACAGTTCGTTTGTGAATCACGTCAGAATGTTTCAGAGTATTATAACAGATACTTTTTTACATTTTCTCTCTTATATGGCAGCCATAATCATTAGACATGCAATCATATGTGGTCATCCGCTCATCCTTGAACGATCTTGCTCAAGAAAGGAAAAATTTCGAAATTATTCTAAGTATGAAAATTTTTCTCAGTTATATGTAACGAAAAGTGTGAAACAAAACTGTAATTCAAGAATTAACAAGATCTTCGTACAAGAACTCAAAAAACTTCAGGACGTTCAAGATCTTGAGTTCTTGGAATTTCTTAAGTTTTCTTACTGAGATCATGTGTCACGATCTTACTGAAAAAACTCAAGAAGTCAAGCTCTTGGTTACAAGAAATTTCACTAGGGATATTAATCAAAATCAGTCAGCTATGGAAGCTATCGAAATACTCGACGATATAGTTTTCTGATAGTACTTTATCTTATGAATTCATCGATCGCCATAGATCACTTTAAAGAAAGGTTATTGGATTGGGATATTACTGCTCACTCTGCCTAATACAAATTCTTTTTATCCCTCTGATTCTAAAACATTCCGGCTAATTTCACCTTGTAAATTGATACATGAGATTCTAACTTCAAACTAGTACTATTGACACAATTAAGTACGTTCTTACTAGTGCCCTTGGAGTTTTCTTGTTTTCAATACAAGATAAATCTAAGACTCTTTTATTTCAGAATATCCTACCTCATTTCAAATTAAAACATTCAGACAACTATGTAATAGTGTAGTAATATCAAAAAGTTCTCATACTTTGTCCTTCTGCCGTGTGATTATACGCACTTTGAGTTATACGTTTTTGTAGAACAAGGTAAACCTTTCAGTATTTTGTGTTCTTAAGTTTCATTGTACCCACTGCGTCAATGTCATTTTGTACTATCTTATAATATCTGTATGCTCTAAGAAGTTTATATGAATTACTACAAATAAACAACCTATTTAAAGTGCTGTTTCTTTTGTAGAAAATACTCTAAAATTACTATAACTTCTGTATGAATAAGAAAACAGAAATAACGCAGTAGACAATAACTCCTCGCCCATGTGACAACTCAAATCTGTCTGATTCTCTTGAAATTACAGTACATACCGTAGAGTGAAAGATTTACTCAATGTCAAGATCGTGTATTCTAGTGAGTCTTATATATAACTCTTTCTGATAACACAATTGTGACATAAGTATTTTTTTAATCGGCTGAGAATGTAGTCAACAATAGAATGTGACAAAACCTGCCGCTGGGTTTATTTTCGGTTGAGTTCTTCGTGAGTAAGAAAGAAAAAGAAGAATGTAGGACTTATACGATGCCATTTTATTTTCATTCTTTTCATTAAATAAAATCAGCTGTGAGTTATATATAGTTAGAATCGATTACAACTAAGACAGTACGATGTTTTGTATTGTACAATCTAACTTTTTATGTAAGCTTGGAAAGTAAGTTTCATATCATTCAGGAAATAATCAAATTTAATTTCCTATTTTACATATGGCATATGTTGAAGAGTAAACGAGGTTTGTAGTTAAAATCTGACGGGTATGAAATGAAATATTCTCAAGATTTTGATGAAATTTTTAGCGTCATCTTCAATAAAATTTTGATGAATCAGATAACGAATAAAGTGTGCACACGTGAATTGCTTCCAAAACATTTTAGCACATTCTACACTTGTTTTCTGAACAAAGAGTACTGATATTATTTTTCGTCTGAATCCGACATCGATAGTGGTTGGAGTCCAAGCACTTCAGATTCGGGTCAGATGGAAAAAGTTTATTTTGGTGTTAGATCAAAGCAATTTTCTTACCCTTGGTTAAAATAGGTACGAGAGAATATTTTTGATGTCTAGGTCGAAACTTTTGGTATAAAATTTTGTCACAAATGTTCGTGGCCTGATTATACTTCTCTTCTTCATTCACTTCGATATATTTTAAAGTTCTGTATTATTTTCGAATGCTTACAAGATGAAAAAAATAAAAACAGCAGCATATACAAGTCGACATAAAGTATGAAGAGTATTCAAAAATGATAAAAAGGGTGATTTACAGAGTAAATGAAAAAAAGATACAGCAACATTACAGTCATTATCTTTCAAAGAGAATTAAAAAAAGAGAAAATAAAAAAATGGAAAAAGGTTTTTTTTTTTGTTTTACTCTTTCCTGTTCTGTACTGAAACAAAAAATAAAATATCATATGGTTCAAGAAGGACACGAGCGAAATCAACACACAAGAGCTAATAAGTTCGGTTTTAATTTCTCTTTTGCATCGAAAATATGCAATAGGTGTGTATGACACGGTATGACATTTTGTTCGCCTTTAGTGCACATCTAATGGAAATTCTGATACCTAACACATCTTTACTATTAAGGTGAAAAACACAAAGTTCCATGAAGAAACTTTTCTGTTCCTCTATGTATGTCGCATGCATCATATTGATAGGGGTTCCTAGAACAGTTGTGCTTAACTCAATCACCGTTTGATATATATACCTTAAAGTTTCAGCCACTGAGGAAACATCTCTTACTTGTTTGCTTTTTGTATTCACTATATTGGGAATCGAGATCTATAATGCCCAGGCGATTGATCTCTAATAAATGCTTAGATTAAACATCTCTTAGTGATCAACTCCAATTCCAGTGAAACATTGTTTTTCTGAGGACATTTTTGGATGCAGATCCAAAAATTTATTTTTACCCATATGCCTTTCTGTTACTGTGTTACAGAATATGAAGAGATTCTGAATGAACAATTGTAAACACGTCGAACTAATTATGTGCAAAAAAGATTTTAGCTTTAAATTTTTAGAGATAGAGAAATTATCTTTTTTTTTTCGTTGGATATCACGAACTCTTCTGCTTTTGTGGTAAATTGAAACTTATTTGTGAAAAATACGAGAAAAATGGGAATTATTATTAAAAAATTAAACGAAAATATCCTGTCTTCAATTTGCGAGCTATGATCCGAAAGAGACAGTTAAGCCATTAGACTGAATGTTTTATTGCGTCTGAAAACTGTTATGCAACGTTGAAATAATTTCTTTATTCGTCATCATACTTTAAAATCTAAACGAATGTATCTAAATTTAAATATTTATATGCATGATTTTGATTTTGAAAATGAAAATGTATATAATTTACAAAAATCAATGAGATTGACTGTTTTATTTTTAATCTATTTATTCCACCAAGCAAAAAGAAATTTTTCTCTGTTCTACATAAGTAAAAATCCTGCCATGTTTCTTTCCTTATTCTTTTATTGTCAAAAAGAAGAGAGATACGCATATAACGAAGGAAAAAAGAATTCGTAAAAAGAGTACATATTAGACAACAATAGAAGATCGAAAATACAAGGTACATAAAATGAATGAAGGATTTAGTCTAGAAAAATAAATAAAATTAATATTCATCATTATCATTTTCTTCACCTGTATGCCTTGCTTCTTCGTTTTCCTCATCTCGCTCATCACTCTTATGCTCAGCATAATCCTCTTGTTTTTCTCTTCCTTGATCATATAGTTCCTCTTCGTTTACTTCTGGTTCTTGTTCTTCGAACGGTTCTCTATCCGTTACATAATGTTCAATATTATCGTTATTTTCATTGTCATTAAATTCATCAGTTTGTTTTGCTAATTCTTCGTTCTCGGGCAATTGAGAACAACAACCTTCGATAAGGTCATGTGCAGCCATCAAATATTTTTGCTGTGCTTGACGTACTAAAAGGAAAAAAGATATTATATATCGTTTTAAAATCCATGGGGAAATACACTTTTCTCAAACGGATTTAAACTGTTAGAAATCAATCAACTTTCGGATAAAAGTGGAAACAAAAAAGTGTGAAAATATGACTATTATTATTTCAATAAGTCGCTCCAGATATTGAGAAATAGATGATTAAATCAAAAATATACAAAATAGAAAAAATAGAAGTGACTAGAAAATTCTTGTCAATCGGTACTTTTGGTGACAATAGCAGAATTGCCAACTCGAAGTCTGTAAAACCAGTAGTTTCTTTTAAAATATCGGTAGTGGAAACATTAGATTTTTTTCAACAATAAGATGAATTTAGCAGAAAAAAGTCTGTAGAGTTGGAAGTCTGAACACAAAAGAGACATATAAAAGAGAAACAAGATTAAATCGCTTGATATAATCTTCAACTTCCATCTTCAACGAGTCCATTGCACGCGACTCATACCAGACGATGCTCAATGTCTATCACGAACTTTAATGAACTTCACATAGTACGTAGATCTAGCCTAGATAGGAATAGTTTGCAAGTGCCATCTCAAACAAACGTTTGGGTCGGGAGTTATAAGCTTTTTAAAAGTAGGTGAAGCTTCACAGGTCGAAGAATTGTATAACAGAATCCTGTTAGAATTAGATAGGATTATGTAACACCTTGCTAGGATCACAAAGGTCTTGTAGGCATCCATAGGAATAGCTTGGACTCTAAAATGGTGTAGAATCTCGTAGGAATTCTCTATAGGATATGGTACGATTTAGTAGGATTCATATTGGATCCCACTTAAATCGGATACGATTTCGGATTTCAAGATGTTTCAAAGAATTTATGAAATTCTCACATCTCCTGAGTCGCCCATTTTACAGGCCTCGGAGACATCTCATCTTGAAGTGAATTGCTTTCTCTAAGTATGATTTAGATCATCTTTTTATTTTAGAGTAAATGGTCCCTATATGGTCTCTTAGAGCTTTAAGCAGAGGCGCCCAGTGAACAGCCGGTATCTGGGTAATGTCTAAAATCGGCTCGTCGGAAAGGCTCCTACTTCAGCTGGTGCTAAGACCGTTGCTGGGTGACGTACGCGTGATTATACATAATAAACAATGAAAAAACAAAAAAATATGTATTTCTTAAGATGGGTTCGAACCTAGTACATCAATTAATCGCGATTAATCGTATGATTTTTCACGATTAATTGCTGAATTTTAGTCCATGGGCTATCTTCGTCAGTCTCGATTTCATTTATTTCCAAAAAATATCTTCACATGCGTTTCGCTCTCTGTAGCAGTTAAGTATGCTTCATCTCTAATACAAAATGAGCTGAAAATCAAGAAACGAACCTTTTGCTCGACTTTCTTGTTTGGCAATTTCTGGTATTAAAAATCCATGTACAAGTTCAGCAACAATTCCTTCCGATTCAAATTGTGTACGTCTTAAATGGGATAGAAATCATAAAATGCATCGTAGGATAAAAGTTAATTATTCACCTTTGTTCAATTTCATTGGCAATTTCGTTTATTTTAACTGCTTTCTCTTGAATTTCTATTCTCGCTTGTTCACTAGCACATTCATTCATTGAATCTAATATTATATCCTCCAAATATGTATCAACCGTATTTTGAGTCATTTTCAATAACTAAAGTGTACAAACAATAATTTATAAGACTCAAAGTGAAACGTGAAGCTCTGAAACTTGGCCATACTGTCGAATACACTCCTGTGAAATAGATTCATCTGAAGAGCTATTTTTCGCCTACGTGAAATGCAGTACTCTCAAACAATTGTTTTTAGTGACTTTAAGCGTAACTGTTAAAGTGAGACCATTCCCTTTCTTCTATTAGATTTCATGTTTTTTTTTTTAAAATTGAATGTGTGTGTATTACGACCTATGATGTTCATCAGACAACCAAACCATCTAAATGTGTGTGATTGCATAATTCATTAGTTTTACTTGTTTAAATATTTCATCTTCTTCTCTTCTTCTTCGTTCCAATACTTGTCTTAAACCAGATTCTTCAGCTTCTCTTAAACGTCTGTTTCTTTCAGCTAATATAGCAAATGCTTCAATTCGTCTTTCTTCTTGTAAACGTATTAGCTCTTTGCTAAGAAAGTCGACTACATCACTAATTGCTTCACCTTCATATGTTTGTAGTACCGAATCGATAAATTCTTCCTATAAATATGGTTGCATGATGGTGTGACAAAAGAGATTAATATATTTTATTCATATATACCCGTTTAACATCTTTTCGTCGTTCATGTTGTTGCACTTGTACGTCTTGTTTTCGCAATTTTTTCTCCCTCATGTCTGTTTCTTGTAATGCGTGTGTACTACGCATCTCTTTAATTAATTCAATACGTTCTTCTTTACCTCTATACATCTAAATGAGATCAACCGAAATTTTTCCTGCAGAAAAACATTGTTGTGAATAATAGGAAAAAAAATTTCTAATCAAAACATTATCTACATAACACGGCAATCTATCATATATCGTACAATTCGACAAACTTAAATTCTAATCCAGAAGAAAGTTCGAGCTCGAACATTTCTGATCGACATCAAAATCAACAACTCAACAGTATTTTGTGTGTAATAATCATGGATCCCAGATCGTCTGATTTTGACAGAAAAATTGTGATTTTTGAACTTTTTCTGCCTCGTTTCGGTCTAAGTATTCTGGTTTTCTGATTTTTAACTTTTATTTAATGATTTTCATGTTTTAGATCTGATATCCCTGGTAACAATACTTGTACTATGGTAGAAATTTTATAATTTTCATACTCAAACTATTTCATACTAACTGGTTAAATAAGCCGTTGTTACTCAAAAACTTTAATTTTGCCAAAACACTACGTATGATTGATGCTATTATTCTCAGATCGTTTGTTTCGCTCATAATAAACTCACCATGTTTTGTATTGCTCTTCCACGTATTATTTTTTGTAAATAAATAAGTCCGACTTCGCGTTCTTCATTATCCTAAACAGAAATATGAATATAAAGCAAATTTGGTGTCATATTATAAAACAATACTTACAAGATCAGGAACATCGACACCAGGTGTAGCTGAAACGCCCAAAAATAATGTTAATTAGTGTGTCAATGACAAATACTGACGGGAAGCGACCAGAGGGCGAAACGGTCTCGTCTTGCGAAATTTATGCGGGACAAGACAAAACGAAACGAGTTTTTTTTAATTATTTAGCAAGATGAAACAAGAAACTCACAGGACAAGATAAAACGAGACAGCTTAGAAAAAACTTTCGAAATGAGACGAAAGAAATTCGTTTTTTCTTCGTACATCGTGCGAAACTAATGCTGCTACTCAAAAATCGATTACCGAATTGTGGAGAGACTTTTATTTCTTTTTATATTTTTGATGGGATAAGCGTTAAATAGATAAAGATGGAATGACGACAATTTTGTTTATACGAGATGAGACTTTTAAAACTTTGTTTGTTACAAAACGAAAACACCATGAGACAAGACGAGACATTCGAAAAATCCGTTTCATCCATATCTAGTATAGTGATGCATTATCTATTTTAAAATGACTAGAAAGTTGTTCAATTAAGGAAGAACATACGCGGCCGTGGTAATGGTTTCTCAACTTTGACAAGAAATCTTAATGGTTTTGGTTCTTCTGGTTCTTTCATTTTTTCACTTATGATGTCCTAGAATAAAAAGAGTAAGGATATGCTGCTGTATCATTAAATAAACAGATCCTCTACATACATTATAAATATTTTCAAGATCTCTCTCTCTTCTATAATTTCGTTTCAAAAATCCAGCTTTTGTTGTGCTTATACGTTTTGGTGCATGAAGTTTTATTTTCAGAGCAGATGAGGGTAACGTTGACTCTAATTCCAGTAAACCTAAATGTACAACGAGCAAACATACTTTTTAGAAAAAATAGATTCACAGTAGTCAAAAAGGTACGTTGATAAGAAGAATCATAAAAAGAGACATAAGCATTCCTATTCGACATGCGCACAAAGAAAAAAAGTAAAAACGTTTTTACGGAACCACGGGTATCTCTCATTATTCTTGAAACTTTCGTAAATTTTAATTAAATTTGTGCTTCTAAATCGTACCGTCACTAGTACTGGTTTTATAGTAAGCTTCTCTGATATTTCAGTGATCATTAAGAAAAGATATCCCAAGTTTTTTTTTGAAAAGAATATGATCCATTTATAATTCTTGTTCATATAAAGGAAAACAATCAATAACTTCTTGACGTCAGGGCATAGGCGGCGCAAGTTAAAGTTCCTAGGAGTAGCAATAAATTTTTTAAACTCATAATTTTAATAAATAATAACAACTCCCAGCTCCCACTTCTTCTAACAACTCCCAGAATATGTGTTATTAGGGGTAGCAATAACTTTCTATTGCTACCCCTCGCTACTATGGCGCGCCGCCTATGCGTCAGGGAATCTGCGAGATTTCTCATTTTTTCGAGATCTCCACAACTTTTCGTCTAGGGCAGTCGACCAAGAATATATCGATAAATGATTATGCATTCTCTACCATTTATCCACATTAAAATTTACCATATAACTCGGTTCTTATGGATACAGTATTAATTTAGTACATTTAATTTGTCGAATCGCTCCGATTACCTTGATATGTATCTAAGTATCTGTTTTTAACAATATATTTATCGGTTAATTTATCTGGAAAATATCCGTGTCTTGTTAATGGTGCATAGGACTCTGATTCATAACGGGTATAATCTCTGATAACGTCCGTTTTTTCGTATTTTGTTTCAACATGTTGACGTTTAAGCAGTAGTGATCGAATCGCTAAAATGAATAATCAAAAACTTAAAATAATGACGTTTACACTACCATTGGATTCACCTCTTAAATAATGTAGTCGATTTTTTTTCACATAATCTTCTCTCTCAATTTGTTTTTGACTCCATTGTTTATTGATACGATTTATCGATGTATCATAACGTCTTGATTCATTGTCTCGCAACAAACTTTCTAATAATTCGATGCGTATATTTTGTAATCTAAACAAAAAACATAATACTATAAGAAAAGAACAAAAGAAGAGGTGCTTAGTATCATGCAGCTGCGATTAGATTAGATTAGACTAGATCTCCAGCATCACGTTTACATACATTCAATACAAATAAATCTGCTAAATACGAAAACTCGGATGAATAAATACATAGAAAGCGAAATTATACGATAGAACCAGAAGATAAGATTGTTTTTCTTGTAAACTTGCTCAACTCTTTAAGAATGTTTCCTCGAAAAGTTATGAATTTTTTAAAACCTCCGGAAAAAGCGCAATATTTCAATACTCAGTCTTTTTTTCACACTTTACAGGAGAAAAACTTGCGGAATACACAAAACTCTTTTGAATAAGACGCCTTTCATCTCTGAAAAATTCTGTGTTGCAAAATTACAGTCAACTGACTGAGAGCGCTTCAAAAGCCTCTATTTTTATTCCAGTTATGACTTTTTCAAAGCATCATCCCACTGACAAAACCTCAACGGTTCTTAAATATTTATTGGAAATAGATAAGATCGAACGCTAACAGTTTTCACTGTTCCGATATCTACAGCGCAAAAATTAATCATGAAAGAAGAACGCGTCTAGCAGAACTCCTTCAGTATTTCTCGAGATCTATTTACCCTATGGAAGTGATGCCTTAATATTAAACCGTTTCTTAGGAGTGCAGGGCATGGGAGAAGTGTCCTTAACCTTTTTTAGTTAAATTAAAGTTTGCGTAAAAAAGTATTCGTAGTTCTGGGGTGCTTACTTTTCAATTTCATTTTCTCTTAATAACCATTCATGTCTTTCCATTTCTGACATCATTTTAAATCTTTTATCCCATTGATCTCCGTCACTTAAGGACGGTAAACTCGCTTCCCAAGCACGTTTAGCACGTGCACGTTCGATCATTTCGACTTCAGCTAACCCAGCTGGCAAACCTTTATCTAGAATAAATAAACAAATGCAACAAATCACGTATACTTCTCAATATACTTTATTCTTCTTACTATGCATAAGTGTCGCTAATGTTAACACTTCTGGCTGTTCCCCTGGTTTACACACATACTCTGGTGTATAAGGGTCCGTTTGTGCTTCACGCTCCATATAATCAGTTTGAATTCCTTGTGTTCTTGTAGCCTGCGTCTCCATTGTCGGACGCGGTTTACGTGATTGATAGGATGTACTAACTCGAGTGCCTGGCATTCCGTGATGTTTATCACCTGCATCAAATGTAGTTGATCTAAACAAGCAACATTAGAGAGAAATGTATGTGAGGTATTTCGCTAAATTTAAAAAAAGAATGAAATTGTTTTATCTCTTCAAAATGGCTTTTCTAGATCGGTTCTAAAACTGAAGTCTCTTGTCTGCATCAGTTCGTATCATTCGTGCATACCTTGTTGTATCCAATACCACTAATGGTTGAATATTTTCAACAAATGGTAACAACGGTTTACGGAAAAATTTTGCTCGCTCTCTTCCACCAACATCCACATGAGCAAAGGTACGAGGTTGCACAACAAATGCATCATTCCCAGTAAATCTAAGTAAAAATAAAAATATTTAAGAATATAATACGATCAACGAAACACTGTCTATCTTTTTTCATAGTCCAGCGAGCAATACCTACAGTTTTGATAAGGCAATTTGTTCTTGATGTGCTTCATTTTGTCCTTGCCATTGTCGATTTATGTGAGGTGGCACGTTGTCATTTGATTGCATACGATATTCAAAACGAGGATATTGACGAAGATCACTAAACATATGATTATAGACTGGAAGAGCTTGCTGAAAAGAAAAAAAGAAACATCTTGTAATAGGTATTGATATTGAACTTGTCTCAAGATCCTTTCTAATGTTTCAGTGAATGTTCAGGACATATGACTAACTGTTGAATTAGACTGCGCTGAGTCTTCACTGTATGATGGTATTAGATAGGTCTTAGTAAAAGGCACTTGAATCTAAATTTGACACACATGTAAATTTCTTTTCCGACAAGTACTCAATTCTAACTAGTCATGCCCACAAATATGTACCAGATGTCAAGTTCAAGCGAAAAAGTATAATATGAGATAGTACATAAGCTTTTTACTTATCAAGTTCCTCTACAGAATTCCACAGGGCTAGGATGCGACTTCTGCGGGATGAACCACGGCTTATTCACTCTGTTCGCTAGTTTTTGATCTCTAATACAATTTTCAACTAGAGAATAACATACCAGTTGATCCACATTTGTTCTTGCAATGAATGCTTCACGTGCATGATCACGAACACTTGCTACAGTGTGGGTTGCATCTAAATGAAAGAAAGCAAACATGTGATGAACTGTTGGCAGCGCTTCTAATAAAAAGTATCGAATGCAAACTTTGAGAACTCGACCAAATTACGAAAGAACTTTTTTAGGAAAAAGCTACGCTTCGTATTTGTTTATTATTTTCATCTTTTATGCGGTCCATTTAAACCATTAAAGAATATCAAGTACCGTAAAGATAGTCGTGCAAGCGTGCTTGTTGAACTCGTTTCAATGTTTGAGTCTGGGTCGCCATAATTCTCTGGCTCTTTTACTCTAATGCCAACCCACAACGTTGATTGCAAAAAATCAATTGACTATTCTTATCATTAATTTGCCTAAGTTACGTATTTTATCATTCATTTCTCATATGTAACCATTGCAAACGTGTCGGTGTGACAACTCCCCTTTAATTGTAAATCAGTTTGCTGTGAACAAGCCACGATCATCTCACTGCATTCTTCACTTTCATCCTGCGCTCATACATCACGAATAACGTTTTAATCAAATCTGAAAAAAGCTTGTTTCAAAGTCTTGATTACTAGCGACCTCTGTTAGTAAAACTACCGTAGTCGTTTCCCTACTTTTTCTAAAATATAATACCGTCCGAGTACCTAACACAACTGTTATGAAAGTTCTAGTTTTCTGTGACTGGTGTTTAGACTTTTCAATCTCTGCCGAGCACAACAGACTTCTAGTTTGGAATATGGTCTTTTGTAAGACAATACACATTAACCAAAGGTTGTGATATAAAACGAATTTTAGTTCATGTATCTAAAACCGGTGTATCCCATGTCGAACATTTTTATTAAACACCGCTGGTAAACCACGATTCTCAAAATATGGTCGGTTGCTGCGGTATAATTTGAAGCCACTTGGTATTCTCAACACGTCGGTGCGACTCATACCACTCGGTACACTCTTTTAAGGTTGATCAGCTTTTCGTTTGACGGTTAGGGGTATATATTCATCCCTAATGAAAGTTCTTGTACCCAAGATGTTGGGTTAAGAAATGGCACAAGATCTTGAAGTTAGGTTCCCAGGGCGAAGAATCTGGAAATATGATCTTGTACGTTCATACAAGATCTTGTAGGATCATATTATAAGATACCACAAGATTTCACAAGATCTTACAAGATCATATGAAAATCTTACAAGATCTTACAAGATTCCACAAGAACCTTGGTTCAAGAATCTTATAAGATTTCACAAGATTTTTCTTACTGCAAGATCTTGTATGACCTTGTAAGATCTGGCGATAAGATCGTGCAAGAAGTGACGAGATCTTGAAAGATTTCATAAGATCATATAAGATTATGTCTCTGATTCTGTACTATAGCTTCCCTACAGACCCTCTTTAAAAAAACAGCTTTTTTCTTTTCATAATCTTTTCGAGCATAGGAAGGACCCTGACGTCCTGAGTAACGTGTCTAACCACGTTTCTTATAGCCATGCACTTTATTTGTGCTCAGCTAATGTGTGCAGTTGGAGAAAGAAAAAATTCTAAGTTTCATCATAGGAACTATATTTTATATATACTATATATCGTTGCAAAATTTATGTGGTAAGAATGAGTCATCGCTTCTTGTAAGATCCTATAAGATCTTGTAACAAGAAATCGTATGATCTTGTGATAAGAACTGACAAGATCTTGCAAGATCATATAACTTCTTGTTACAAGATCTTAAGATTTCTTATAAGCTGATCTTGTAAGATCTTACAACAAGAAGTTACAAGATTTCGCAAGATCATACATGATCTTAGGATTCTTGCCAAAAGATCTTGCAGCAAGATTGCATAAGAAATCGTCAGATCTTATAAGATCTTGTAAGACGTCTTTCCGCTGGGTTGGGTTGCAATTATTTGAGGGTGATTCTTTTGAAAGTGTATCAGAGTTTACATTTATTTTATCTCAATAGTTCGAGAGTAATAGGACTAGTACAACTCGAGCTCCTGGTGACGAATATCACGTTTAAAAGATTTTAAAACAACCAGCAGAACCGACCTTTTCTAGGCATTTTCATGAGCTGGTATCGTCAGATTACAGTCTATATGTGGAGCGGCCTGCTTTTCAGAAAAAAGGATGTTTTTAAAAATTCTCCTGAGAATGTGCTTAACATTTTGAAACTTTGTGTCCGTTAGGAATTTTGCAGCGCTGCATGTATACTGTAATCTGTCGATATTAGCTCATGAAAATGTTTCGCTAAAAACTGATGAAAATGCCCAGAAAACGTCGATTCTGCTGGAAAATGTGATCCACACAGATCTAGGAGTCCATGATCGAGTTGTACTAGTCCTATTACTCTCGAACTGTTAGGATAAAGTGATGTAAACGCAGTAGGTTTTCGAACGAACAAACCTTGCTTTACTATACCCTGCATTAGCTATAAAAAAATGGAAACCGATTCTAGTTCATCTTTATTGTCCTATCGATACGAAACATTGTCAAAATGGATATCTATTCTGGACTGAAAGCATTCTTGTACGAAATCATACTCAAATTGAGTTCTGGGATGTCGCCGGAGACGAGCTTCGACTATGGGAAAAATAAATTCTACAACCGTAACCGTAGTATCACGTCTCATTGGTTAAAATTGTCCAATGGAGTGAAAGTTGTCTGACATTTTTCCTGCTGTTGTACAAAATCATTTTCCATGATATCGTATAGTCTTTTCGCCAACAACTTGTTCCACTTTATTTCGCAAAAGATTAATCAAAAAAACTTATAAATGTTTAGAGAAAATGCCATACTATATGTTGAGACATCTGCTTTTGTCATTCAGAAAGATACTGATTAATTCATTGGTATGAATACAAAAAGGTCTATTGTATTCTTGTTCAAAAACTTGATTGATTCGATCGGTAGCTAAGCAGTCTCTCCACCAGTTTTGTAAGTTATCAAGATGTAATCATCCTTGATGGCTTCAAACGTTTCGGCACAGTGTCAAACCCCGAAATATCACGAACGGATAAAACTCAATGATCAAAATAAAAAATATTAGTTAATTGTTTGTATTTGGCTTAAATGGTACTGTTTTGGAATTATTCCACCTTTATGTTTGTTGTCGTATTTCACGTATTGTAATGGGATGATGCACGAAACAGAAATTTTAAATGTTCTCTTATGGATTTAGCGTATCTATAGTATGAATTGAGAAAGCACTCATCATTTTCTGCTACGATGGAAGAGATTATCTAATATTAGAGTAATGTGGAGCAATTCAGTAATTTTTTTGTATCCTTGTAAGTGTTTTTGGAAAATCTTTGTTATTTTTTTTATGCACTTTCGCTGCGATATAAGAAGGACTCTTAGCTATCTGCCTGTGAAAAATCGTCTTCAACGCTCTCAGGATAACGATCTTAAAAGCGGATTACCGGATTGCCCCACATTACTCTATATTTTCACTATGCGTGCTGTTATAAGTATAAAAATCTATTGAGATATATCCGTATACTTTTCTCTTATATCTACCTCTTATCTACTTTCATACGTTTTCTTCAATTGCAATAAGTGAGAAATAGTAAATGTTGCTTGTTTTTTACTTATTTTATTATATACATGGATTTTATTTTAGACTTGAAAGATTTTCAAAATTAAATGATATGGACTGTTCAATGTGTGTCATCTGTGCTTTTGCTTAAAACTCTTCGATCAGGTGATTATTGATTGTAGGACAAAAGCTAGTGTTATTTAACTGACTCTAATTAATTTAAAGAAGATGTTAAAGTATTGATGATGCATTCATGGCACAACATGACCAACTAAACTACCGGTCTTCAGAAAAACAGGACATGATGAGAAAATGGTTCCTATAGGGATCAATAATTATTGAGACTTACTGCGGTTGATTTAACCTAAACTATTTACACGATAACTTTTAACGCTAAGATTATTCGTTCAAAAATTGTTCGGAAGAAGTCAGACGTTCCATAACTTTGATTATGGAAGAATCAGTATAATTTGTGATAGGTTGACGAAGATGTTATGAGGAATGTGTTTGGTGACAGATAATATCAAATATGTAATTCACTGATTAATTCACCATTTAGTCCTTTGAAGTGTTGGATAAAAACGACAGTAACGTTATTTCTTTTGATATTGTTGTTTCTTCAGATTAAGCTTACATGAATTATTCAATCTCTCTAATAAATGGTCTCACGACAACGAAGACAAACATGGTCTGTGAGAACGACTGAAGAAGAAAATGAGTTGCAAGGTGTGTAGTTTTGAAGTACGTACCTTTCGCTGTACATTTGCATCAGCTCTCTTCGACGATTCTTTCAAACGTATGCATCGAGTTGTAGTTTGTCTTGAGAAGATTGATCAAAAAAGCTGGACGATGGCAAAGTACAGAAGAGGAAATTTCTTATAAAGCTGACACGTCATCATATGAGAGTCAGAATTAGAGCCATACAGGATTGGGACTGGAGGAAAGAAGTTTACGGGATCAAGATATTTCTTTTTCCAATTTATTGAAATTATGTTTCATTATCACAAAATTTTCGGGATTTAACGGGATCGGAATTGGAGAAAAGAATTTTTCGGAATCAGGATAGGATTTTACTCTATCGGATGGAATCGGGACGAAAAACTCAATCCTGCAGGGCTCTAGTCAGAAATCTAAAGCTCCTTCGATTCATCGTTATTTTCCTTTTAGATGGTTCAAATGATCAAGAAGGATCACTGTTTAACAATTATTGTGTTCCATTATCAACTAGAAAGTCAAGTAATCATGATGGACAACCACCATTAAGTTCATCATGGACACATGTATTAAACCGTGTGACGTTGTTTAGTCAGCGAGAGAAAGCGTTTAAAACAGCATTCTACAACGGTGCGGCTGTATTGTTTATAATTTTATGTTGTAGTTGTGCTGTATTAGCCTTTTATATTTTGGAAGCATTTCTGAGACCAATATTATGGGCAATATTAACCGGTGCTTTTTTATTTCCATTTAAAAAGACATTGACGAAAATAACACGACAGTACTTAAAACAGTTTGAAGTTAATAATCATTTATTAATTACCGGTGTTACAATTATAGTACCATATCAAACACTCGATACATTATCAAATTATTTGGGACCATTAGCTATACAAAAATGGAAACCAATTTTATTCATCTTTATTCTATTACCGATATTAAACGTTGCCAAAATGGATATCTATTCCGGACTGAAAGCATTTCTATACGAAATCATACTCAAATTGAGTTTGATACAAGAATATTTTGAATCTCAATGGATCATAACACTGTTGTGTGGTTATTTATGTGCTGTTATTTGTCTGTATAACGAAGAAAACTATATAATTAAAAAAATATTAAATCTATTAGCTATTCCTTTATGGATAATATTTTTTCTCTATATTTCGCAGTACATATCTCAGACATACAGACTATTGTTTCTTATTCTCACATTCACACTCATCGTAATTGGATTTATCGCTGATGTACACGAAAAGTTTGATATTGAATCAAAGAGAAACAAGAGCAGTGTTAATGAAGCAAATAATCGTGAGTATATATTACCCAGGTAAACAAATACTAGTAGAAATTCTATGAGTTGTCGCAATAAATCAAGTAAAAGATTTTTTTATTAGTGGAAAATTACACAATTCAAGTTCGTATCGAAGATAATCGATGATACGCTAACGGAGAATTTATTTCATTACACTTGTTTATTTCACAAAACTTTTTCACATGTTTAACTCGATTCACGTTAAAAACTGAACCTATGCAGAATCTCTTCATGCTGAAGTTTTGAATGAATATCAAAAGATCAGCTTGCTACTAAATGGTCCTTGTAAGACAGTGTTAGCAATGGATATCCAATTCGCGATCAGTATCAAAAAGGGCTTCAGGTTTATTGCCATTGATTCAAAACCGTCTATTCTGGACCGTGTGAAAAACAAAAATTTATCACACTTGTGAAACCTGAAGAAAAAGAGAGCATAAAAAATCGTTATAGCTAAATCAAAGGTATGAGACAAAAAAGGAGTGTCTGTCACTTGGCAAAGGTATATGATTTCTGCGAGAATGTATTAGGGTATTTGATTTTAAAAGTTTCTGTTTTATTACTGATTACAACTGAATTCCTTTGTTATTTTATTTTATTAATTAATTTTAATCGAATCTTTCGATTCCACGATTCATCATCAGAGTTAAAAAAATTTAATAATTAATTTATTTGATTTTAATTTTGTACTCCAATATGCTTGAGATATGGTTTATGTTATCTGAATATGTTGATTTTCTTATATCTCAAGTTTCTTTCTGTTTAAATTTAAGGTACACCATCATATGACACGAAAACTTTCGATGATGATCAAAATGAAGATGGTTAGTGAAATATGATCTTTGATCCCTGTTTATTCTAGAGACAATTTTTCATTTTCTAGTTGTTAATAAATCAGATCGTGTTCGTAAAACATCTTTGATTCAAACAAGTGCTAATCGTGTCGTTGAATTAATTTCCAAATGTCGAGATCATCTTTCTAAATATGAATCTAAATCTGTGACAGATAAAGATGAACCGAAAAATGTGACAGATCGTTATTTTAAATTCTTATTATGGACATTCATTGCTGTGAAAATATATTTACTTTATTATTATTTATTACCAATACCTGTGTTTTTCATAACCTTTAGACTTATCAAGTGGTTATTTTATAGAACGTACACATTTATTAGATCACAGACACAAATAAACAATTTAATGAACAAGATACACTTATTTGTGAAAAGAAGGTAAATAAAAAAACTAGTATAAATTATTACGATTATTGAACTGTTACTTTTTTTTTTTAGACAAGAAGTATTTGCTCCATCTCCATCACACGGTTTATTTCGTTTATTTCTCAAAGGTGACAAGAAATTAAATTATTGTTTGCAAGAATCAATTGATTATTTAATTAGTGCATTTATTATTTTTACATTGTTAATAACAGTATTATTTGGAGCAGTCGTACTTGCTATACAGGTGGGAGAGTGCAACTCGTACATTCTTCTTCAAGTCCTTTCCCATACAAACTAAAAACGGATGAACAGATAAGATAAAAATAAAATATTTTCGACTAGTTCAAGTATCTTCAGTCACTGGCTAGCTAGTTGTCTTTCTTTAACTTATTTATGTACTAGTTAAGGACTGGTCAGTTTTCGAAGAATAATTGACTACTCAATAATGAACGAACCAGCAATTAGTTCCTAGTCAGAGGCGATGTTCGGAACTTTCGTTATTAGTCACCGAAAAAATTTTCTCTAGTAGAATATACCCCCTCACCTCTCACACTCGTAATAGAAGCTCCCTCTGGGGGAATCGATGTGGAAGGTGTATTAGAAGCCCCATGGCTTCTATTACGTCCAAAAAATAATTCAAATTTTTTAAACGACACATTCGATCAATATTGAACAGGCCTAGACGAAACAGTTCATTAATCTCATTTAGGAACAAACGATCGATGATGGGAAGGAAAAAAAAGGACACGAATAAAATTTACATTTTTAATCTCAAAAAAGATTTTTTTCAGATTAATTGAGATTACCGTGATTAGAAAGGGAAGAGCATCGAAATTCCAACTCTTCTTTTTCTGGAAATTTTTGTACGAAAATCGTAATAGTTGCCCTCCCTAAAAAGTTTGAACGCCTGGATAGTTTAGAAGCCCCGGCAGCTTCTATTACGGGAAAGGATTTATAAAATAAAGTTATTATTCTATCTTATTATGTTTTAGATTCATCGAGAAAGTTTACATATGATTAAATTAACTGGTAATTTAGTCAATGAAACCGTTGTATTACAGCCAACATTCCAATATTTATTACCGGAAAAAGAACATATGAATCAGTTAGTTGATACAGCTGTCAATAATTTTTATCTTTATGGAAGACGATTTTTAGCAAATCAGGTACATATCTTAAGTAGACAATGAACTATCTGACGATCATATCATAATCACATAAGCGCATGCAATGTTTCTAGGTAGCAAAAATTCAACCAATTGTACAAGAACCTAGATGCTGTTTACCATTTCAAACAAAAAAGGGAGAAGCAGTCTATATGCGTGTAATTAATAAAGTAGCATAGTTGGAGTTGTCAGATATTACATATACACCTTACTCAATTGTTCTTATTGCACGTTTTTGCTTAAATTTTTCAATTGTAATAATCTCCTCTTTTCTTTCATAATAAGACTGATGATAAACTTAAAAGATTGAATACTATCTTTTTAGCAAATTTTATGAATAATCTGTCAATATATTCTATTCATACTTGGTTCACTATGAAATAAGTGTTAAGGTACTTTTGAGTTGAAATAGAAATAGAGTGAATAATTTGCTTGATTTTAGTTACTGGGCGTTGCATCCTTATTTTTGTTTGGCTTTCATTTACTGATCATATTTGACTAGCAATTTGAGAGAAGTTGTTAGCAGTTCATTATTATTATTATTTTGTGCTCATTTATTCATATCTATTTATCGTTTAGGTTCAAAATTTTGGTCAAGATAATTTACCAAATAAGAAGATTGAAGAAAATGTTTTAGAATTATGGGATCGTTTGTACACATACATTACAATATCATCATTTTCAACTTCGTCACTTAATAATCGCACATCAACAAATATATTATTTCATCAGTCTGTTCCAACAACATCTCTTGTTGAAGAAGAAAATGTGCCGACAAGTTTAGCGAAAAAATTCAATTGGCAGTTATTACTTTTTAATTTACAAGATTTCGATTTAACTTCAATTCATTTGAATGATATTTATTATCTAGTCAAAGATAATTTGGGTTTATTCAAGTCTGTATTTGACTCTATATGGTCTAATATGAATGTATTTTTAACATTTATGTCCACAATTCTTTCACTGTTGTTTCATGGTGGATTTGTATTATTTAATTTCTTATTTTCATTTGTTGTATATATTACATTGTTATTTTATCTCTTATCCCATTCAAATGACTATTATCGACCAAATCAATGGATTAATCAATTAGGTGGTATTAATAATGTTAAACTTGGAAAAGCAGTTAATGATTCAATAACATCTGTATTTGTTGCATCGTTAAAAATGGCTTCATTCTACGGGATTTATACATACTTAATACACACAATATTTGGTGTAAATATCGTCTTTTTACCATCAGTCATTGCTGCAATATGTGCTGTTTGTGTTAAATCATATTGGTCATCATTACCGGGATGCTTAGATTTATGGTTAATGCAAAGACAACCAGTATTAGCACTCTTGTTATTGATTTGTCAAATAACTCCGACATATTTTGTTGATACAGCAATTTATAGTGAAGTGAAAGGTGGAGGACATCAGGTAAACACTCTGAACATGCAACAGATATTTATTTGAGATATGAACACGGGTACCAATGAAATATAAGAGCCATTGGATGTAAGCGGCTACTTTTGAGAATGTGCCATTAAAGAGTAAACACTTTAGATATGTTTTGACGAAAATCGCAGGTGTTGAAGATGAAATTTGGTCTCTGAAAAAAATTCAAATTAAGGAAATAGAAAAGAACTATTTTCATATTCAAATTTTGACTATGAAATAACTCAGAACTTCTATGGCGGCAAGAAATGGCAAAAAAAATCTCTTGTTTTACACAAAAAATGGGGCTATCTTCTGATGTAGTTTCTCGCCAGTTCAGCGATTCATCAAGTCTATCAATATTCTCTCTCTCACTAACTCATTGATTCTATTCTTCACTTATTTGTTTTTGTTTTTATTTATATAGTATTTAACGGCTTTAGCAATAGCTGGCGGTGTCTATTATCGTGGTCTTGAAGGTGCATTAATTGGACCCATTGTTTTATGCTGTCTATTAGTTGGCGTTAAATTATACGAAACAATGATTGCGTCTGACACTATACTTACTCGTACAGAAAATGAATTGAAAATGCAAATAGTTCCAAATGTAAGAGATGATCATCCGGTTGAAATTCTACAAACATTTCAAGATCGACAGCAACAAACTACAGATATCCCGATGAATGAATGACTCAGTTGGTTAAATTTCAATATTACCAGTGTTCATATTTATTTATTTTTATTTATTTTGACAAATTTTTCTTGAAAAGATATAATAACAGAATATGTAGCGTTTTAGTATTTTTATGAGTGCGCTCTCATGACTGTTCGTGATTTCTAAGATCTGTATTTTTACTGACAGTAGAAAGATGGAATTTTGTTTTGATTATTTACAAATAGATCGTATACTAAACAAATTATTCTATTGATTTGTAACATTTTCGTAGCTGATTTTCAAACACACAGTCAGCAATAGTTTTCCATTATGACTATTCTGAACACAATCTGATCTGTACACTGGTCTGGTACAGAAAAGTTGTAAAATTAATATGATTTCATAAAACAAGATACGTGTGGATATTTCTACTGAGATTTTTAAAATATTTAATATTTTTTTGACAATAGCAACATCACACACTGACCAGCGGCTGATATCATTACTCAATGTAGGAGATTTATTAAGTAAAACATCAATTTTTATTTATTTTCTTAGCAGTTAGGTGATTAATCCCTTATGCGTTCTAGAACCTCTCCACATGTGATCATGATAAAAAGCATAAATATTTTGCAGAAAAACAGATTACAAATTAGTCGTGTACAGTGTTTCGTAGTTTTTTTTGTAAAAATGTCTTGCGTTCATAGTTGAGAACTAAAAGTAAAAGGTAAAATACAGATTTGCTCGCGTACATGATATAATTAAAGTTGTGATTTTTGTCGCATACAAGCAGTAAAAAGATAAAAGAAAGTTTTGGATTCTTGCGTACAATATGTTTGTGTTGTTGATGTTGAATCGCGCATAATGTTAAAATGTGGGAATTCGATGGCGAAAAACTGAATAAAAATGCACGAGGTAGAAAATTCCTTGGAGGAGTTTTTATTTTATCGATATTTAAGTTAAAAAGTGTCGTGCATCCAGACAGACAGATCTAAGTTGATGATTAACAGATCTAGTTGATTTGATCGAGTGCACAGGTAGGCTCGGGGGTCAGAATGTTGAAATATTATTCATCGTCCAATAATGGATATATAGTTCTTTTTATGCAGTTTATGGTGTTTTGTGCAAACCTTGTTGAAGCTGTCTTTTAAAAACTGAAAAGCGTCAAAATTCGTTCAAAATCTGTGATCGTCCTGATATGTGCATCGAGTCGAAAAAAGTGGTCTTCTGTATTTGTCAAGTCTGTTGAGAAATGTTGGTTCGTTGGTCAAGCTATAAAAATGTTAAGTAGGAAATAACGACATTTTACAAACTTTTTGTAAAATCGATTGTAACGTGAAGTCACTGTCTACTGTTGTGTTTAGGAAAGGTGCAAAATAATTGCAAAAAGCCAACAAAAGTAAGGAAAAAGATGTGCATAAAAATAGCACCGTCGCAAAATAATTGGAAAATTTGGTAAAGAAGAGATTGAGTTAAATTTGTGATGCTGTCATCGAATATAAAACATCGGTTATATTTACTGATAAACATATGTCATCAACTCAAGTAATATTATCTTGATTCATAAATGAAAATATAATAGAAACAGCCATTAGCACATGAATATACATTGACAGTTATACTTTCTTCTACTAACTTTTGTTTGAAAGTATCATAGAAGATTTCTATTGCTGATAGAAGATAGAATTTGAAAGAACACTATACAAGCATTACTTAATTGCACGGTTGATTAAACAAAAATATCTCAGTACGATCATCTACGTCGTTTTGATCTAATCTAATCTCTATTTCGATCTAATCTCTATTTTATTAAGGAATGATATAGCTCGCCCTTTAGCATATTGTTGGTTAAAAAAAACGAATGCTTTCCACTATTTTCTGAATAACTTTCGATCGAAAAACGTTACAGATCTGTGATCTAACTATTCGAAATCCAAAACTTGAAAAAAAAAGAGCCTAAGGACCTTCTTTTGAGGTGAGATTTTCATGAGACCTTTAAAAAATGAGCTCATGGCTGAAAAAAACTTCAGTAGAAATATAATGAGTTTTTTCATGAGTAGACGGTGCAGAAATTACTAGAAAATGAGAGCCGAGATGGTTTTAGTCGTTTAGGCATGACATTGGATTTCCTGAGAGTCACAGGACTGCCATGAAACGACTTGTTGCAATCGCAAAGATATGTGGAGTATAGATAATCAACCCTGTTGAATCTCGTGGCAATGATTGTTTTCATTTAAAGTTTCCGAAACTCAGTGAAAATCTCTAAACTGTTTTAATTTGTATTGAAAATTCATACGTTACGCAAAATCAACCCGATTTTGCATGGAAGAACGACTATAATGGGTTATTTCTGGAGATGTTTCGTTCCGGTATTGAGAGCATGGTTCGACGTCGAGTTGTTCGAGTTAACAATTTCACTCCTAAGTTTTAAAAATAGTACGAAAAGTACTTGATTTTACAAATGAATTTGTGAGAAGAATAAGTTTTTCCAAAAGATGATGCGACTTCTTTCATTTTTGGATCGAATTAGATCAATAAAACCTTTGGCAAATTTCGCTTTTTGGGTCTTTGCGTTAAATTTGACTAATCTGTTTCGATCTCTGATGGCTGTCCCTACTCTGCATTGTTTTTTCAAATAATGAAACTATGTATGAATATCGATCGTATACATAAAATGTTGAAGAACAAGACGTTCTCTCTGACCTAAAAGGAATCATTCATACTCTATCTCAGTGCTTAACTAAAATGCCCATTATCAACCTTTATTAACCGTTATCTAATCTAGAAACTACAACGGCTTGTTTTAGAAGCTGAAATTGTTGTACAAAGGTCTGACAAGGTGCTATGTATAAAACAAACCTTCCGTCTTAACCCAGCAAATTCTAGCAGCCTAAACGAATTCAAAAAATAGTTATCATTTTCATAACTCTGAAAAAAGAGCTAAATTGAGTCTTCAATGGTACACACGATTTCTCATGCTCGCTGTGTGATTATTTTATATTGGCGCTGCTTAGACTACTAATGACCAGAACAAAATAAGCACTAATAAATAGCTGGAACAATAACTGATAAGTTTGGGCGTTTAGCATATGTCTTTTTTCTAACTTAAAATCAAGATAGCTACTATGCCCAGAATTGGTGAGTAAGATGCACGCTCATTCTTCTCTAACAAACTTCATGCGAGTCTTACTTTAGGAATGGAAAAGGCATGGCCGATGTTTACTTTAGGTATATGTTCAATGCTACTAACAGCAATCGTTTTTGGTTTGCTGTGCGGTCATATGATTCAACGACGGCGTACGTTTCACATTTGTTTAATAAAGTTATTTGATTTTCCGTACATTTAAAGGTAAAATGCAGAGATTAGAACGTGAAAATGAAATTGAATTAGATCGTGTTCGAGCTTATAAATCTGAAACAGAACAGTTACGGTAATCTAACATCAATACTGCTAAGTGAAATTCACTTTTTCTTCTTACTGTTTTTATAGTAGTAAAACATTATCAGCTCCATCAGGTCAAGCAAGTCGAAATAGAACGAAAGGTATTCAAGTAGGACAAATAGAACACCAATTGTATTCAAGTTTTTCCATCTCATTTATTTTAGATATATTTAACATCCTTGAACCATCAATTAATTATGTGTTGAAGAACGACGATGTGCAAGTTGCACTTAAATGACCATTTCAAGATCAAATTTTAATTAAAGAAATTGTCATTTAATAAAACTCTTTACACCTTATGCTGTTACTGAACCGCGCTGGTACATTCAGTAATAGCCTAATGTGTCAATTATTAATTATGAACCATCATCTGTTTGTAAAGAAAATTATATTGTATTGTCAGTTTTGAAATAAGCATGACTATGATAGTTTTTAAAATAACTTTCGATCTAAAGCAGCTACAGAGTTGTGGTGTTTCCCTTGCGAAAGACGAGACCTGGGACCGATTTCCGTCGACAAAAAGTTTTTATGAAGTACATTTTCCAGTGAATCTTTGGAAAATCAGGTAATACTCAAAAATTTTCAACAGAAATATGTTGACTTTTCCACTGGTAGAGAATCTCGTATGTCTCCTGCAATACAAAAGCTAGCAAGCCCTTAGTTTTGTACCGTTCAGATATGGTATCAGGTTCCCTTGTGAACCACTAAGATGGAATGATACCAGAATAATTTTCAGTTAATTTATTTGCTTTTAATTCAGATTTTTTCAATTGTTTTTTATGACTACTAACAACAAATGGATTAGTTAATAAAGATTTCTCCTCTTTTCCTTCGATCTCATCAATGTCCGACTCAACATCCATGACGACAAATCTAGAAACAGTACAAGGTCAAAGTAGAAGCACTGCTTCTACAGTTGTCTTTGAACCTTCATAATACACCTCTAAGAATAATTTTGTAGTTTTCTCATCATTTTTATTATAAATCAGATTACAAATAGTAAACAAAAGCAAATATTTTTATCAAAATTTTATTTCTATCATTTGTCGGTACATATGAAGTATGCGCTCAAAACCAAATGATATTTTAGACTGAGAATCAAGAATTCAAATTTCCGCTTCAGTTATTCTTAATATTTATTTAGCGATATGATGGCAATCTTCATAGACTGTCGATCAGTGTCCGACAACCTACACTCACGATCAGTTTTTCTAAATGCTTTAATAAAAAACTTTCTGTAATTTTCCGTGCACAAAATTCATGTGTGACCAATAATGGATTATATACCTGACTAAATACACGTTTGACACTATCAAGAAATTTGTGAAAATATGTATAAATGACCTAGACTTGGGGATGCTTTAAATATAGGCAGAAAATTTACGATTTCTACTATTGAACAAGATCCACGACATACTTAAAAAAGCAGCAGTAATAGGCAACGACTTTCTCGAAGTAAAATCCGCTAACATCCATTAATCAGTGATGGGGAATTCCAGCACGAGTTGGAGGGAATTTTGGTGGAGTTATTGAAAATTTATCGGAGTTAGACTGTGTATTCGGGCAATATCAACGCAAACGCAAATAAAAGTTCAGCGGTTAATACGAAGTTGACCGAGAGTTACAATGGTTGCTAACGCAGTTGAAACCGGAATTGCCCATCTCTGCACAATAAATAAGTAACGAAAATTTCGAGTTGCGATAGAACCTGATCGATATCTCTCTTTACTATCCTCTGTGAACTTTATGAAAAACGTGCTGTTGAAGATTAAAAATTGATCTAATGAGAAATTTATTGTTGCAATAAGCGGTCGGACTTCCCTGTGAATGATCATTACAAATAAAATTTTGACTTGTGTCAAGAGGCTGAAAATGCTAATATCGAAGAATGTTTAATAGAGTCGAAGATTTCTCCTTCCTACTTCGCTAAACGTATACTCATTGTCATAGAGATTTTACAACGTGTTTCGATAATATTCATTAAACAACAGTACACCACGTTCTGAGTTTTGAATATATTTGCTCTTTTGTTGAAGTCAAAATCTGTCTCTTCCAATTATAACTTATTGAATAATAAAAATGACTATCTACAGTGCAAATTCTTGTATGTAAGATTTATTTAAATTAAAAAAGATAATGGAAAACGCGTACAAAAAACGAATCGTAATAGTTAACAAGAAGCAGCACGTCAACTTGTCTGCATATCAGTTAGTTTTGTCGAATGACGCTTTCGACGAGTATTACCGCTGTTATTACTAGTGTCATGATTCATTAGTCGATACTTGTGATCATTGTCAGCTTTAGTTTGTACCGTCGTTGTAGTGCTCGATGTTGGTTTATGTTCTCTCGACGATTGTCTCACTGATGAACGTCGAACGATTACATGATTTTTTGTTGGCCGATTTTGAACAGCTATTGAACTGGTATGTCTTTTTAAATGAGTAGCAACTGGTGCATGAACAACACTTGAATCAGATGGATCTAAATCATTATTAGCTGCTGAGCGAACTTGTTGATCAATCATTCTTGAACTGATGTGATGAGAGTTTGTTCGTTTAACACAATGTCTAGGAGATCCTGACACATTTTTCATTGAGGTCATAGGTCGCTGATTTGAAATATTAGATGACTTGCGTATGATTGCAGTTGAGTCATGTTTCGTATTCATCCGAAGATGATCTTGTTTTATTCTATGATTCCGCACACGCGACGATAAATGCTTATCCTAGAAAGAAATGAAAAATATGTTTGTCTTCAGATTTGTTTATATCATGCAGACAAGGAACAGTAAAGCTTTTTTTATCTATGTCTGTAGTCTTGATCATCTTTGTTCGAGAGCTCGCTGCTTATCGGAAATCCGAGACCGCGAAATCGATGACCCCTCGAGCACTTGTATCTCTTTTTTCGAGAAGCGCGTCTCCATGAGGGGCTGCTTCCTCCCGGATGACTTTTCTGATCTACATGAAATACGACGTTATATTCAACTTAAATGATTTGCTCTTATCATATTCTAAATCAAAGTCGTTTTCTTACTTTAACTGATACATTATCTTCACAGTTTGTTTCTTCCGTTTCTCCTCCGCCGAGAGTAGCTATTCGTTCAAGTGGATAATGTCCTGATGGATAAATTATATCTTGTGACCGATATCCTTTTTGTAGCTGTAATTCTAATCGATGACGATGTTCTTGATGCATTCTATGTTTTATTTCTGTGAAATTCTTTTGTAAATTTTTGATATTAATTTCTGCTTTTCGCTTCAAAAATGATACAAAATTTATTAATTTGGGTTTTATATTATTAACTGTGGACGATATTACAGGCATTGATCCTCGGTGTGATTTTATCCATCTGGTCTCCTCTTCTTCTTCTTCATCAAATTCATAATTGTCAATATTATCTTCTGAGTTATAACAACTGTTATTTGCATTATTGTGTGCACTGGGTAATTCATCATATTTTTCTAATTCGCATTTCACTTTTGTGGTTACTGAATTTTGAACTAATTTAGATTTTTGCTTTTTTGACAATGTTTTTGTTTTTGTACTTGCTCTAATATAAGCTTCTTTCAATGCTCGAACACGATTCCAAGCTTGATTATGCTCTTTTGTTTTGTTCAATATACCATGAATAAAATCAACATCTTTTTTGTCTAATGTCAGTTGTAAGTGAGATGAACGTGCCTGTTTCCGATGACGAATATTTCCATATGATTTACTCGATAATGAAGATATTTTACTTAAGGCAATATTTGATCGTTGATTAGACAGAAGTTGATGACTACGTGATAGAACATTTTGAAATTGAAATGATTTAGGTTTTTGAGCGATAGACGATGTTTCTTTTGTTTTTGTACCTTGACGTTGTAACTGTGTTGATGGTCGACGAATAGATTCATTTTCATCTTGTAAATCAACACTCACCGTGGATGTAGATCCATGTGGTCGTCTTCGAAGTATGAAATGATCATGAGTATAAATTTCTTCATCATCCTGTAAACAAAACGAATCTTACTACATTCTATACTCAAAATTGAATCAAACGTAAGAATTTAAGCCCATAAGATCTGAGAATCTTTGTTTTTAAATCATTTTGATTTCTTCAAATGCATATGTTTCTCATGTTTTCTCTCTACAAACAAGATAATTATGGGCTAAGACTGTCTCAATATAAAATATTTTAGGTCAGTAAGTGGTAAGTCTTACTTACGAGATTTTCTGTGCATGTTGGATCGCCGTTCTCAGTAGATCGACTTCGAGATTGCTTAAACTTTCTTATTAATGGTATTGATAAACTTTGGTTTTCATTTGTATTTGTTTGCTGAGAAATAGTATTTTCTTTTGAATTGTTGTCTATCTCAGTTTGTTCATCCTCGTTTCCTATACTACGATACCAGGAAAATACACGATCACGTAATGCACCATTAAACTGCATTGCTCTTCCTAATACGCCCAATGAACGACTATTCATATTCGATGATGGTCTTGAATCATCGAAATTTTGTATTGCAAAATGTTTAATTTCATTGTACGTGTGATCAACATCCAGATCTAATGTTTCTGTATTATCTTGGGACTGATTACTCTTCATCTGACACATTCGTTGTGCTCGACGTTTTGATTGAGCTAAACGTTGTTGTAATGTTGATTGTCTACATGTACCAATTGAAGACGTCATATTTTGTGACAGTTGAGCATGACTGAGATTAATTGTTCCTCGCAGTGTATTTCTATGTCTAATGGATGATTTATCTCCTCGAATAGATAATTTTGGATGACGTTTACCAGCGGCTTTTAAAATATTTCCTCTCATGCCTTGCATACGACGACGCCGATTAACTATGTTTTGATTTCTTCGACGAGAGTGTAATGGTAAACGACAAGGACCATCGGTTAAACAAACTGTAGGATTAATAATAGTATTCATCGATTTATCACCACGCTGCGAATTAACTGGACTGTTTTTCAATTTTGTTCGATACAACACACTTTTATCAGCGTAGTTGGGAGCCATATTCTCATCAGTTTCTTTCACCTAAGAGAGAAGTATGTATTAAAATTAGATTAATATTGAGAACAAAAATGTCCATAAAAGTGAAAAGTTCTTTAAAATTAGATCTGATTTAAAACGAAAACATAACAGAATGAAGTAAGAGTGTGGACGCAATAGTTACATTGCTGAATTCGCTCCGTTGGTATTTAAGAGCGCCCCTTTCCACGTTAGAAATGACAACTTTGGGCAAAAATTTCGATTTTTGAGAAAAATACATGATCGGATAGCTCAAGTGTCCTCTTTCGAGTGTACTAAATTTAAAGTCTTAAGTGACTCGGTTTAAGGGTTTTTCCTACGGATGAAAGCAAAGTTTAACTTTTTAGTTTGTGCTAATTTCGTGACTGTATAGGTTTTCGACCATGAGAAATCTGACTAACATATGCAGTACATATACTCGCATATGTCTGTCAGACTCATCATAGTCGAAATAATATACGAAGAAATATTTTTTGTATCAGAATTTACAAGAATAATTCATGTTTTGAAAGAAAACAGTATTTTGCGTTTTTCTCAAAATCATTTTTTCCTCTATGGTGTTTCGTATGTTGCACGAATTCTTGCAAACCGTAAATGCTAGAGACATTTGAATTGCAACTAACACAAGTGTCTAGAAGCCAACAAAACTCGATTCTTGAGTTTCGGTCGAGCTTTTTATACAGCGAAACATCTTTATGAAATTAGAACAGCTGTTTTCGAGTTTTTGACTTTTCCCGCGCCAAAACCTGTACGGAGCAAAATATTAAAATCCATTTTTAAGTCTTGTTCGGACGACATCTAGCGAAGGACAATAGATCGAGCCTAGCCTTTTTATCATAACTATAGCCAACATTTCATCGAGATCCAATGTAACCTAGCGTGAAAATTTTTTCTGAGAGGAGTCTGAAGTGAATATATAGTCTGAAACACATGTTAATCAAAGTATAGTAGAGTATTTTAAATCACTTAATCATACGTACAGCCAATTAGTTTTAAGCGATGCAGATGAATGTTGTTTATAATTTCATTTTTACTTTCAAATATATTAGTAAAACGATGAAAATAGGCTTACATTCATTCTCTATGGTCGTTCTAATTTTACTTACTTACTTGCTCTTCAAAACGTCTGAACAGCTCTGTACACAGCTCTTGCTGTGTTGAATTATTTTCAGCGAGGTCGTCCATACTATTTAAGTCTTTATTACCAGATAATGTACTCATTGGTGTATGAGTTGTACTATTTTGAGGAAGATTATCAGATACACTCTCCTTCTTTCCCTTTTCAGCTACATTGACCAAAGGATATAGTTCATTTGTTGACATAGAACATCGTTCTTCATTTGAATTTTGTTTTATCATCGTTTCAATGCGGGGTGCTCGCGGTTTTCGAGTTGGTATACTTGGAGCTTCGATATTGTCAATAAAAGGTGACAGGTTTACGTATAAGGCTTTATTACATTGTGTTGATATTATTATAGGTTCTAGTAGTGATGGTGGCGGAGGAGGAGGAGGAGGAGGAGGTTTCTTCCGTTTTCCTTGATTGAATAGAGGTTGATGAATTTCATCTGGGTTTGCTTCGTTCTGCAAACGAGGTGTTTGTTCGTGTATTCCAGTTGTAGAAATACAGCTAACATCATTACTTTGCTTTAAAAATACAACATTCGCATAGTTTCGAGAACACGCATTAATATTATTTTCATACAAGGGCACTATAGATGTTTTTTTGTGTCGTGGTTGTTCACCGTTTTTTGCATCAGTGATATTCTGATATAGAGATTTTGATGAATGAATAATACTTAGTCCTTGATCAATGGACGAACGAATGGGAATCATAGATGAACTAGATGAATTTTTTAATTGTTCAACCATCGTATTGGAAAAGTTTTCATTTTTGATAATACAATGTTCAAGTTCCTGATACGTTGCATGTTCAAATGAATTTTGTCCAAGTAGTGGTGTATTATCAAATGATTTTGATACATTGTTGCTGCTAACATTCATTAATGTTGCATATGCCACATCGATATTGCCAACCAAATTGGATACGTTATTATTAGCTATTAGATTCACATATAGAGATCCATTTGATGTAATATTTTTGTGATTGTTAATATAATGAGAAGATGATGTACGATGCCGTTTTCGATGTGTACTTCGTTTGTTGTATTCATTTGGTCTAATTTTGATTGGTGCAAGTGTCTTACTATTGTATGATGTTGATATTCCTTTCGATAAAGAATTAATAGCAGGTGGTGGAGGTAATGGTGGTGAGGGAAATCTTTGTGTTAAATTACTATTATTATCGTATGGATCATGAACAGTAATTGTTAAATTGTTTAATTTAGAATTTAATTCATTTTCTTCTTCAATCGGTGGTGCTGGTGGAAAATCAAACTCTGCTAATGCCATATTGTCAAGTGATTCTTCTAGTGATATTTCTTCTGTCACAGAATTTATTTTATTGAACAAAAAAGATTCAAAGTCACACATGATCATCTTCCAATGGTGTCTGTCTTGAAACGATAAATGTTAAAACGAAAAGGTGTTCTTCTATATTAACAGTAAAATAAGAAATTGTGCATAGTTAAACGGCCGATAGACAATATTGTTTATTATTCTGTCATTGTTGACAATTGTTCGGTCATCGTTGTGAATTCTTTTTTTTTTTTGTTTTGTCGTTTAGAAATCAAACGTATCAAAGAAAAAAGAGGAAAGATAAGCAAATAGCATCGGATTATTGTTCAGTTATGTATTACTCTCTATTATTTACACTCATTTTAATCTTCATATACTACTAGAGTAGACAAACTTCTATTATTATTTTTCGTTCACACAACTTTCAACAATTTGAGTCAACCGGAACATCATTCTCACCAAAACTAGCAGACATTATATGGTCTACAATACTAAATAAGCAATTTTTTTGATGATGATGATGTATTGCAACAAGTTTGTCAATTATTTTTCTTCACTTCTTATCCACAAATAAAGTTTATATTCTTTCAAAAATGATATATTTTAAATATATTTATTTTATATTTTATATTCGAGTATGATTACAGAAAAATGAAAAAAAGGAAAAACAATAGGAAAAATTTATCTAAATATATATATATGGAAATGGAAAGTAGAAAAATGAAAAAAAGGAGACAATCGATCGTTTCAATTAAAATCAAAAAAATTGTATAAACCAATTGGTAACACTACACTGATCATCATTTAACTTCAATAAGCGAAAGCAAACATAAAGACATAGTTAAAAGAAAAAAAATTATGTACAATCAAAAACTAAATAATACTGTTTAATTTGTTTCAAAATAAATCTATGGTGCAAGAGCAAACGAAAAAATTCAACATGTTAGATCTATAAAATTACTTTGTTGAAAAACCGGTTATAAATGATATTTGATATAATAGTATATAAGATTATGCAAATGATCGATAAACTGTTCTACCATTTAAGGGCATTACTGGGCGATAATTTAGATGTATATTGGAATGACCATGTACATCATTTTTAGAACAATGTTTTAAATGACGAAGTTGATCAAGCTAAAAAAATAAATAATAATAATCATCGATGACTAAACGTTTTTTTATAATTGAATGTCTAAAAAAACGAAGTATACCTGTCGTCTGGATAGAGATACTTTTTCTTTAAATACAACCCATTTGACAGATTCATTGCACATTGGAGTAGTTAATGAACCGTCATACGTATAGTAAGAATAAGTATCTTCTAAAAAGAGAAAGTGACAGATGTTAGATTTATGAATTTATTTAATGAAATAGCAAACATTTATCGTTCTCAAACAGGCTAAATGACTTCTAACTTTTTTGGCAAAAGTGAGAAAATGACTGTCTTGAATTTCCGATAGATAAAATTCTTTTTTTTTGGAGCAAAATAGTTTCGTTTAGTATTAAAAATATGAAAATGGATCACTTACTTGGTAATAAAGAATCGATAGCAAGAACAGAATCAATGTTTGTTTTGTCACCTTTATGCGGTACTTTCGCCAATAACTGAAATAATTTTTCCATAACAGGATTGTCTTCAGATGAAGCCTTGTTAAAAAACAAAAGAAAATTTTTGAATTTTTAAACCGAATATTACTATCGGTATCAAAAAGCAGTGCACTCAGATGTTTTTTGAATAACGTTTGAACGAAATTGCTCTAAATTTACACTTAGATAGGACAACATCTGCTCTACAAAACTAAGCAAGTTTACCGGGATCTCAATCTTGTATCGTACGGTGACGGTAGACGTTTTGCTGGAACCTACATAATCTCTCATTTTCATCCAGGGGAACCCTGAGAATAAGTGAAAACATAGTCGATATTAAAATCGGAACAAGCTCGAAAGAAACGTTTTCATGAAAATACAAATTTACCGTTTTAGTCGTAGTAAATTCAAAAATTCAAAGCTACGCATAATAATACTTGACCAAAATGCATCAAACTTACAGAATATACTCAGACAGGTGTACTCTATAGATGAATCGCACTAAATTAACACTAGAACACCCGTAGCGGTCATTTTGACCGTTTTGTGATTTTTATCCTTAATAAAACAAACTGCATACAATTTATTTAAAAATAAATTATGTCATAACTTTTAATTTGTCCCACAAAAATTGTTTTTTGCAGAATTTTTAATTCATTTTTGAATTCAGAACCATTTTTAAGTATAAAATTTTTAAAAAAAACAGTCACGGTCAAAATGACCGCTTGGGTGTTCTAGGTCATGAAAATTTCCTGGCGTTCTAGTGTTACAACAAAAATTTTATTCGGAGTCCTTTCCACAGCACTGCCGGATATTTTGCCCGAGAAGGTACTCCACCTGGAACTGGTAGTTTTCAGATCACTTTTAGGTTGTTCGATAGCCCCATGAGTGTACTTCAAAATGGTGGAAACTGGACCTGTCTAGCTCATTTCGTTCAAACGTTATTCAAAATCATCGCAGTACACTGCTATTTGACACCGAGGGTAATTTTTATGTTTGTGTCACATACCCTGATTAATATACCAAATACCATAAGACCATCAAAATTTTCAGATGTAGCGGCTGCTTGAGGTGTACTATATTTTGTCGTATTCCAATTAACAATATGGAGCTATATAAAAATTGAGTTACCACTAAGGAAAAAGTTGTTAGCCACTTTTACTGTACCTCAGCTGGATATCGACTGCCATCTACAACATGTTCTGATCCTTCGAGCTCGTTTGGTCCCCAATGCATATGAAATTGTAAAAATCTATACTCATCTCTAACTGGTCCACCAATGACACCTAAAAAACGATGAATGTAGAATATTAGAAGTATAATTGTTTCTTACATCGGAGGTTTTTCAGCAGTGTCCAAGGACTGAGAAATAGGAATTCTCTCTATTCCTAATAATACCATACAAATACATATAATTCTCCAAGGAATAGAGAAATGAACATCATTCACTTCACATTTCCTCGACAATTCCCCGTTCGACATTAACGTGACAAGGAAACAACATAAATATTACATCCACAATTTCTTCCCAATTACGTAGTTCCTTCGAAGGAAATGAGCTCATGACAATCAGCTCATGAGCCTCAGTTCTTAGTAGGTGTCTAGAAGGAACCTACCATCAGGAACTGTCTGCAGAAATGAGTCAGTCCCCCGTTTCCTCGACTTTTTTTTCTTTAAACAAAAAAGATTTCTGTTTATTTTTATTCATCTTGGTTATCTCTATGAGGAAAATGTCAGTTCCCTGACGGGGAATTTACTATCAATTCTACTCATTTCCTCGGTTCCTCTAGTTAGGTATTGTCATGAGCTCATTTCCTTCGAAGGAACTACGTAATTGG